ACTTTGCTACCGCAGAAAATAGGGGATTTACTATAAATAAATACATACAGGCTAGACAAGAAACATCTAAAACTTTTTCTTCAAATCTTTTTTAAAAAAGCACCCCAGTTTCTTGGCAAACACAGAAGTGGTTCCTTTCTGTATTTAGCAGAGGATCTAAGAATCTTAACTCTGAAGCTCTTCAAGGAAAGTATGAATCATATTGCTTTAATAGAAAATCAACTTCCAATTTCCTGGCTTCATGGGGAAAAATCAAGTATTAATGTTTTTCTTTAATACATAGATAAATTCAGCCATTTTTCCCTAGCATAAAAGACTGTATTGAAGAAAAAGGCAGATGGTTCAGAAGTAATGACTGTGATCCCTACAGATCCCTGTGCTGCTGCTGACAAAAGTGAGTGAGGCCAAAGAGTACAGCTCAGCATCACACAATCAACCAGTTCATGTCCAAAAGTGATAGATCTCAGAGCATCTCTATTCCTACCAGTCAGTCCATAATCTAATCAATCTGCTACAAAAATCAAGAGATGCTAGTAAATTTTTAAAATTACAAACAGAACTCATAAGACAAATATGCTGTGACACAGTATTGACATCACTGTATGTTGCATCATCACTCGTCACCATGATCCCTTTTTTGACACTGCAAATGTGCACTATTCTCAGATTATGAAACTGCAAATGGAGCAGTAGATGCAAAAAGCCTGCTTTTCACTGATACTTTAATATTCCTGTTCATGGGATATGCATGAATAAAGATAAATAACCTCACACCTAAAGTTTTAGAAGTGCTCAACACACTTAGCAGAAATACTGTAATGCTGAGGTTCATAGTACATTCCAGTCCAGAAACTGAGCTCCTCTCTTCACCCACTCTCTTGCTCAGTCTATGCACAATAATGTCAACAAGGTCTGTGAATTCACTCATCACCCACCCTGGAGAAAATGGAAGGAGAAGCAGCTCCTGCTTGTAATACATTTAACTAATGAGTTCAGGCCTATTGAAATCAACAGTTACTTCACTCAGAAACTAAACTGTGAACACTGTAAAAAATACTGGAATTTCACTGAGGGTTTATTTGTTATTTTTCACATAGATTCTCTCAATTCTTCGACAAAATTGAATTTCTTCAAGAAATTGAATGAATAAAGGTTCAAAAGAGAATGTTCCTTTCATACACTTTCACTAAACTATTTGTACATTTTTCTCCAGAAATGGACATGTTTTCTTAAAAGATCATAAATAGAAGGCTTTCTTTAAAGATCATAAATAGAACATCCTCTATTCAAATGGAACTGGAATTCCTAATGAAACAATGTTTTATACTTTCCCTCTTTCAATATCTGTCTTTGTATCATGTCTGAAAAGCAGCAATAAATGTAGAATATCTTCCCTCCATTTAAATGGAAGGCTGAATAGAAAGTGATACTTTATTTCTAGCTCTTGTCACCACTACTCCTTTGCAGTTTCAGCCTCTCACATCTCTACTGTAAGTTATGACAGCAGCTGTGGCAACAACATATTCAGCAAGAAAAAGTGTTTAGAAACTATTATTTTTTTTAAAAGCTTCTTAACACAAAAGTAATTTGCATTATATGTTTCTAAATTCGAGAATCCATTACAACTCAGAACTGACAAGAAATTAAAACTTGCTTTTTAAAAAGCCCTATTACAGTATACTTACACTGGACTTGGTTAAGGCATTTATTTTGAAAATCATGAAGAAACTAATTTCCTAGGATTGTAATGATACACAGCTTAGACAACATCCAACACCTTCTCCTCACATTTGTGTGGATGGAACTTTGCAGAAGTGCTGCCTGAAGGCTTTTTCAAGCTCATACATAGATTTCAAAGAGGAAATTCAGCTGGAAAATTAAAAGCAGAAGCAAAAATGCAGAGACTTGGGGACATTCCCAGATTTAATGCGAAAAAGTACTTTTGCAGTTCCTGGAAACGTTTCTCCTCTTATTGGAGTGAATTCAGAGGGGAAAAAAAGACAAACAACTAAAAACAAACCAGAAATCAGTCCTTTGCAAATGTGCACAATCACAGTTACTACATACAGAACCTTTCAGCTCTTCAATGCTTAGTATAAAGAGGCTACATCTCAGAAACCTCCAGATGCTTTTGTCTGCTGCTTCAAGGTATGTTAGAAGATAGTTTATAGTCACTTGTGTGAAAAGGAAAGAAAAGTGAAAAAAATTGAGATTGCATGTCTGGTGAAGAGACACTTTCAGAACACACTGTTCCAGAACAACCACTCCATTAGCTGACTGCCAGGACTGGCAGAGCACATGCATCTTAAAAGTGAGAAATGGCTTCTCATGACATCTTGTGGCAGCATGACAAGCTGACAGGGTTCAAGCTTTGTTTTCATAAAAAAGTATTAAAATGTTGCAAAACAGCCTTATTACAGAAAATCAAACAGATAACAAAAAGCACCATTTATATTATGGTTAACAGACTAGAAATGCTTATTTTTACTTATGTCAGAAAAATTCCCCATTAAAAAAATACAAAGTCGCAAATATAAAATAAGTCCATTCTTTTAAGGAAATACAGTAGTTAGAAAACTGAAACAAGTGCAGTTTGAAGCAATTCAACCTGCATGTGAGCTACAGGTCAAAAGACAACAATGTATTCCTACTTCTTAATACATTCTTACCTATAAAAGACAACTAATGTTGTTGAGAAACAGCAACAAGCTACAGACCTACAAAGCCCGATTTCCAGGTGCCTCCACTTTGAAAAATGGTCTACTGATGAAAATTAGGTTTTTGACCATATTTACAGCATAAAGAAAATTTTGAGACAGTATCACACACAGCAATCTGCACAAAACATCTTTTATCAACCTTCTTTGCACTGTTAGAAAATAAAAGCCACTTACTTTGTAGTCACTAGAGGGAGTCATCTGGCACTATACTTGTGCCTCAGGTGTCAGAAACTCTTCATTTCATGGCTCTGCTACAGGGAAAGATTTTGTGTCAGATCTGAACATACTGATTATTAAGTGTTGCCAAGAACAGGGACATATTATATCCTTTCCACCTTTGGGATGGAGACATTGGGTGAAATTATGTGGTCTTGACATCCAAATACTGTATTTTTATGGATTTTTGAGACCTAGATTATTTGCCCAGAAATTAGAAAGGAACACAGAAAACTGCTCAATCCTGATCCAATATTGCTTTAGAAAATAAAACATAACTGTGAAGCATTATGAAAGGATTAGTTGGAGAAGATCTCTCTGGATGAAGCTTAGAGTAAATTACATATGTAGGTGACAATTAAATACTTTTGTTACGCATTTTTCTCTCAAATTCTGTTTTCTAGAATTGATCAGGACTAGCTATGTCCTGGGAACCTCAGATGCTTTAAGTGCACAGTCCTAACTCTGTGTGTATGTAACCTTTATGGGCTGTACAAGGTGCTGGAATAGACAAGTTCATGATCAGTTTGGTTAACCTAAACTTCAGTGTTATCTCCTGATGCAGTGCTGTTGGCTATAGCTGGAAGTGGAAGAAAAAAGGAGCTTTTTGAGTCCTTGCTCTCACTGATTCAGTTAAAAAAAAACAACAAACCAAAACATTTTAATGTTGGAGCTTTATTTGAAAGTGACTTAAGAGTTTTGGAAACACAAATTTGTACACAAAACTGATACAAGGAAAAGTAAACTTCAGGGGTTTCCTAGAGCAATTACAGGCTGTAAACTCATAAGCAAATGTAGTAGGTAGAAAAAGTAACTTTATTCAAAGCCTAGTTTGCAGACCACCACCAAGACATCCTGAAAATCTAGTTTTACTCTATGTGCCAAAAAACCCACAGCCCAGCCAAAACCTTGCTTCCTAAGTAAGCAGAGTCTCATTGCAGTTGTTCTACCTCACTGTATTTCCAATTTACAGTAACAGTTGTGACAAACTGTGCACCAGAAACACATCAAGATTTCCAACAATACCTTCAGTGAGTAAAGATCCACTTTTCAATACCTGGTATTTGAAGGTTTTTATGGAGTCACAGACAACAGGGTATTTGGACAAAACTTCATGAATTGCCATTTCCAAAGAACTCAGTAGTCGAGAAAAAATAATCCAAAGCCCTATAACAGTTTATTTTAAACTATTTCATTTCAGCAGCTCAATTTCAAAGATCTTGGGATCACCAATTATTTTTATTCCTAAGTCTGGAGTACACGAAAATCCTGTCATATAAACCATCAGTATTAATAAGATCCAGATAGGAAAAAAAAAATTAAAAAAAAAATATATACAGTCCTGCAATTCTTTTCTCAATCTTTCCACATGCTCAGTAGAAAGTAAGGCTTCTCCCAAAACTCATCTTTTTTCATTTTTACCTTTATCTGAAATCAGGTTTCTCAAACAGAAAATTATTTTGAGAACAAATTTCTCACTACACACACAGTTCCTCAAAGTCCTGTTTTTGGGGGTACCTGCAGAGCTTGGCTTTGTACCACTCCTGCAGGCACAGGAAAGACACCACTCCTCAAATATTAAGGATGTGGAGAGCTAATAGGCAGAAGCAAAACACTACTACTCCAGTAATTACTACTGTAATTCTTAGAGTTGCTGTTCTCTGTAACTCAGAAAGCAAAATGGTTCTGTATCACGTAGTCATGCAATCACAATACCTTTCCTAGAAAGCTGCAAGAGTCTGTTTTCTGCTCCCTGCTAGGCCTGCTCCTCATGATTTCTGAGCTCAGCAATCTGACTCGGTCTTATTGTGGCTGTTCATTAGGTGTGCTAGGAACAGCATCAGTGTACAAGGATGTTAACTGACTAACTCCAGAAAATCTACAGCTTCGCTAGAAACTGGAAAATGTCCCTAGAAATTCCCCTTCTTTTTCATGCTTTTTGCCTTTTCTTTCACTTCTGAAACATAAACCAAGCCTCTTCTATTGCCGCTCTCCACCCTGTGATATGAATGTAAACAAAACCCAGTGACAGAATAATCAAGTTTTACCAGTGAAAAAAGCACCATACCATTAAACCTTTGTTCCTTTTAGTAGAGTTCCAGCAGCATTAAGACACCAAAGCCCCACCCATACTAGTGCTTAAAACCTTGCTCCCATGTCCTCTGTATTTATGTACTCTGCAATGCTTTGGATCCTGGTATTAAAACAGAAGAGATACTGAACACGCTACGTGATCATAGGAACATGGAGAGCAGTTTCTGTGAATCTCTAGCTACATGAATTTGTGTGCAACAGACCTACTTTGTGCCTTGTAACATTTACAGTGCAGATCTAGTTCTCCTGCGAGGCTGAGGAGTCATTCACTGTTCACTGGCACTGAACGGTTTTGCCATAGCCACCTCTTCCAGCATCATAGTCTTGCCGATACTCATCTCGGACCTTAAGAAGGAGGGAAAAGGGAAAGCCCAGTAAAGACAAAGAAACAATTTATCAAAAACGATTACACCATCAGAATATAGCCAAACTGAGTTCACAAAATGTAAGTTGCCACAAGGAGTTGACTGACAAAACAGAAGGCAAAATGCATCATGGAGAAGCCCAGAACACAGCACAGACTAACTTCCTTTTTAATCAAGTCCAGGAGGACAGCCAAGGTGAGGATGGCCACTCTCATGCTTCAGTATCTACTACTTGCTCAACCTGAGGTAAGCTAAGAGTTGTTCTTTGTGTTCTCCAGTCTTACATTTTCTGGGCTTATTTATAAGCATTATCTCCCCAAAGCTTCTGAAAGTACTTTCAGTGAAATACATTAAGTTACCTAGTCTTACTAGATAACATCACCACTGATAAGATGCCCTACCCACTAATGCATAGTATTATCTTAAACAATAATTCTTAAATTGCTGTTTCTGAAGTTGTTATGAATGTGTTCCTTAAAATCTGGACTGCACAACAACCTACCTGGCCTCCTGATCTTCCACGTCCATATTGTCTACCCTCCTTAAATCCTGCATCCCAGTCTGTCCTTATGATCCTGTCATCAAGTCTGGTTCCGTTGATGTAGCGCATTGCATTTTCAGCATCTCCTCTTGCATAATACCTTGGGAAGGGGTTAATGGAAAAACCCTACGGTTCTACTTGCAACACAACGAAAAACTAACAGTCTCAAATGGGCTACCAAACCAAGTATTTGCCTGAATCAGGTTCCTGCTAGCTTACTTCAAAAAGCAATCCTTTTTATGAAGCTATGTGGGCTGAGAAAACTGCTAGTGAAGCAGAACAATGTGCCAGAATTCAAGCATAGTACAGATGCACATATTGGATTAAATTCTTTAATGATATTCACTTTAAAACCATAAGGTCTACCACTAAGAAAAGAATGAGATGCCCCATGAATGCTCCATTCATGCTGCCAAGTTTCACCATTTTGGCGAGTTTACTGGAACCAGTAACAATTATCTTCAAAGAGACTTGCAAGCAAGGGAGCCAACACATCACAAGGATGCAAGATACCAACACCAAGTTTACGTGTGAAAAGAAACCCTTCTTTACTCGGGCACAGAGAATACACTTTTACTGCGGAGGCTACCTAAAAAGTGTCTGGCTTGAAGTAGCAGAGTGACAGCAACCTAGTGACCCCCAGGCAACGTGCAGGATACGCCTGCCCTCTCTCGCCCAGGTCTCCCAGACACCTCAGCAACTCAATCACGTTTCCTCGGGCCCGCAGAAGGATACTCCACGAAACAGAAGCCGCAGGCGGTTTTCTTCACTTTGTCCAGCCCCATGATGACCTTCTTGATGTCGCCGCTCTTGCCGAAGAGCTCGTGGATCTGCTCCTCTGTGGTGTAGAAGGAGAGGTTCCCCACGTACAGCGTAGAGCTCTTCCTCAGCAGCCGCTCCTGGTCG